AAAAAATGACTTTGCATTTTATTAATGAATTATTTTAAATTAAAACAAAGTTATTAAATAAGGATTGTTTGTTATACTTGAAAATTTCAATTGGTAATTTATGCTAAAAATAATAAAGAGCATAAATAGAATTAATATTTCAAGTTGCTATTAATAAAATAAAAAATCACATCGAAAAATATTAATATAAATACTGTCACAAGTTTTAGTTACCCATAGTTAGTTATGAATTCAATGGCAAAAACAAAACAAGTATATGTTGTTTTAACTGTAAGTAGCCAAGTCGAGTAATATACACGAAAATTATACATAGAGAAACGGGAAAAGAAAAGGACTTATAAGGTTAAATTTTCTTTATTTTTAAGAGAAGTTTGTATTTTTCCAATTGTCACAATTATTACAATAACAATGTCTCATGATTATAGTTCATTTGGATATCTAATATGAAAATTATTGAGAGAGAAATATATTTCTACTAAATTTGATCAAATCAACTTTCAATTTTGCAGTTTAATTTACTTAAATCCCGTGTACTGCTAACTAGTATAGTAAAGAAGCTACATTGCAGGAAAGAAGAGGATTAACTAGTTGTTAGGTTTTCCCTCATATAAGCCATTAGATCAAAGTGTAAAAAGTACGTTTATAATATGTACAAGAAATTATAAATTATTATTCATAATAAAATAAAACACGAAGAAACAGAACATCATAATTTTTTTGTAAGATCCAAGTACTTATGGCCTAATTTCAAAATCAAAGTTGACATCCTTCACTTTGTTAGCCTTTGTAAATACAGTTTATTGGCCAAGGAAGGAATCATATGTTCACTTGCTAATCTCTAAAAGACATTGATGCATGTTAATAGAGATGTGAACAAATGATATTAGATTATTTTAATTGGATATTGTATTAATGAACGCTGATTCTTACCTACAGAGAACAGAAGAGATTGAGGCCATTTATCTTAGCGAACACAGCTCAAAAGGCTTCGGCAAAACAACTAACCTCACGGGAAAACAATTCAAGAAGTTAAGGAATCTAAGGTTCCTCGACGCAAGTGGGGCACATTTTACTGGAGATTTTAAGAACTCAATTAAGAAGTTAAAATGGCTTCAATGGCTGAATTGTCCCTCGACTTTTGAAGCAAAGAATTTTCATCCAAAGGAATTAGTCGTACTTCAATTTGGTGGCAGGCAAGATATCCGATGAATGGCGAGGGATGGAGTTCCATCATGGTAAGATGGAAGAACAAGTCCATTTTTTTTTCTTTTTTTGAATCATAATCACTCTGGGCTAACCTCTCGAAAATTATAATATTTTTTATCGATGGCGAAGAAGCTAAAATATCTCGACCTTACAGGCTGTAGATATTTAGAAAAAACTTCCTTCCTCTCAGCTTTCGAGAATTTAGAGGTTCTGATCCTTGTAAATTGTGATAGAATAGAGCAAATTGACTCTTCGATTGGAAACATGAAGAGTCTGGTATGCTTGGATTTGACGAGATGTCATGGGCTCCAGGAACTGCCAGCAGAAGTTGGTAAATTGGAAGCACTGGAGCAACTCTTTCTAACATGTTGTGGTCACATTTCTTCACTACCAGACAGCATAGGAAACATGAAGAGTCTGGTACGCTTGGACTTGATGACATGTGGGTCGCTCGAGGGGCTGCCAGCAGAAGTGGGAAAATTAGAAGCACTGGAGCAACTGGTTTTGGATTTCAGTGGAATAAAAGAATTACCAGACAGCATAGGGGCTTTGCGTAAACTAAAAATTCTGACTATTGGAGGCACTTACATAGAAGAATTACCAGACAGCATAGGGGCTTTGCAAAACCTAGAAATTCTGACTATTAGTGAAACTGGGATAAAAAAAATTACCCAATGATATTGGAAAACTGAGAAAGCTCCGAGAATTAGGTGCTTCACGGTGCCCATATCTAGAAGGGGAAATGCCAGAAAGCATCCGTAATCTTTCTTCCTTGCAACGCCTCAATTTGTTGGGTTGCCAGAATCTCCAATTGCCATCGGTGCTTCCTTCCAGCTTAACACATTTGGCCTTCCGCCATCAAAATCGCAGACTTCCTTCACTTTCCAACCTAACCCGTCTCAAGGAACTACAACTTGGTGGCAAATTTCTCGAGTTAATCTGGGAGCATCCATCAACACCATTAGAAAAATCCCTAAGCAGTCCCTTCGAATTGGAATTCTTGATAATCTCGGTGCGAGCTTATGGAAACACTGGACGTTTCACAATTGAATTATCTGAGGACATTATATGTCGATTTTTTGCCCTAATTTACCTGAAATTCGAGGTCTTGACAAATTGAAATATTTGGAAAGCTTGACTATCACGTTGCAGTTCAATTAAAAGGCTCGACCTTACAAAATCCCAGGGTCTGAAGAAATTAAGGGTTGATTGTTGCAAAAATTTAGTTGAAATTCAATTCCTTGATAAGCTTGAGTTCTTGAAAGAGCTAGATATCTCTCGGTGCGCTTCAATGAAGTGGCTGGACCTTTCAAAATTGGAGGGTCTAAAGGTATTCAATGCTCAATATTGCAAAAACTTGGTTGAAATTCAAGGTCTCGATAGGTTGGCGTCCTTGGAAGTGAAATATATCTTTGACTGCGCCTTCAATTCAGAGGCTGGACCTTCTAAAATCAAAGAGTATGAGCTCAATATTGGAAAAACTTAGTCGAAATTCAAGGTCTCTATAGTTTGGAGTCCTAGGAAGTGATAGATATCTCTAGGTGCGATTCAATTCAGAGATTGGACCTTCTAAAATCCAAGGGTGTGAAGACATTAAATGCTCAATATTGCAGAAGTTTAGTCAAAATTCAAGGTCTCGATAGGTTGGAGTTCTTGAAAGAGCTAAATATGTCAGGGTGCACTTCCTTTGGAAGGTTACCATATTTATGTTGCTTTGACACCTTGCATAAGTTGGCAATCAACTGTCGTGAAAACCTTCATGATATTCAGAGCCTAGAGAGATTCCCATCCTGCTCAAGTTTATGGATTGAGGATTACAAGTCCTCGAGTAGAATTCCCAAACTTGTCAAATTTTTGTAATCTACTGAGACATTGATCGTATCAAATGGTCATGAACTTCGGGAGATCCCGGGGTTGAGCGTCAACATCTCTAAAACGTATTGCTATCTCTGGATGTTCCTCGATCGAGATCTTACCTGATTTGTCATCGTGTACCAACTTGATCGAGTCTGGTTATGCAAAAGTGCGAAAGCGGCCCGAGCTTCGAGGGCTGGAGAAATTGGGGCAACTGGTGGAATTGGACATTTCTAGATGCAAGTCACTCAAAACAATACCAGAATTATTTGGAACTCAGATTTATCGAAATTACGAGAGACATTCACGGGGCCTATATGAAGCAATGAGAGAATTTGGATATTAAAATCAGGATTAGTCAGAATAGTTAAGATGATCCCCAATTCCTAACAAAGGTACATAAAGCAGGTAAACTACCTTTTCCCTTTTAAGATCTATAACCCAATTTTCATTGGTATTTCCTGATTGCAATTTCTTTTAAGATTTAAAGCCTTTTCATTGAATTTCCTGGTTGATAGTGTTATTGTTTTCTTACTTGAATTCAAGGCATCCGTGGGGAAATGTTCGTGGAAGTTAATGTGTGCTTTGGCATAATGTTTCCGCTTATAATGCAGTAATGGAAATAGATCAAAACGCCTTCTAAGTACATCATTTATCATTAGCCTTCGGGTAAGATTCTTCATCCTATGTAGAGAAATAAGGATTCTTCGCGTTTAATGAATTCTGCAATGCTGGAATTATAGAGTAAAAACTGATGTATACGGGCATTTGATAGCATGCTAAAGGTAATCGTATAGGTCGAGAATTGCTAAATAAATGACCCTGTATGGAGGTCCTTCTAATGTGAGGTTTTAGCTGGCCTTGCGTTGACCATGCAGTTCATGACTGCATGTTTCTAAGGTACGCTTAAGAATGAATTTACGGTGCAAAATGAACATGTTGAGAGTGCATCCCTTAGTATGCATACGCTACTGATTTAGGACAAAATTTGTCCAACCATTGTGTTCCACACACTTTATCTCACAAAATTGTCTGCATTAGCTTATTAAGGAAATCATATCAGTTGAGAGACGCCAAATGCAACTTCTCCTAGTGGTTTGGTCATGAACAAACTAGGAAACAGGCCAGAAGCAAAACCATTGTAAATTATTTGGATCAATCAAGAAAATAGCAAATTCAATTTTACTTACTATGAATCCATGTTCATCTGCTTTGAATCCAGGATATACCTAAAGTCCAAGGCAAATAATAGATTATCCCAAAGAATACTTCTTAATGTTTGTAGAGTTAGTAACGCCATCTGTCATTTACTAGAACTTTTGAGTCAAGCAAATGATCAAGATGGCAGACACGAACGAGAATGTCTTTTGACATAATCAGCTGCATTGTGAAATGTTCCCTTATATTATGGATAAGCTCTTCCTAGTGCATTTACTTGCTGAAAAAAAAACACACATGAAGCATTTTCATAAATTTCTTGAGGAAACTTTCGTTTATCCTATATGCCATTTAAAAACTGTCAGTGCATTAATTTTGATACGTGAACAGGCATAATAAGAAAGAAACATATTATATATATCCCACAAAAAAGGCAGCTTAAGTTGAATTCACTATCCAACTTGATCAAAGCTTCTGCGGTTGATGATGTTAGATGCCTATCAGTTGGATTGAAAAGGTAGAAAAAGAAAATTAATATTAAGTTTGACAAACAAAGATCTGTAAACTTTGGGTGTTATTAGTAGTTTGCTGATGTTAGTTGCTAGATTGATTTCATTTTGTTCACTGGCAGGATTTGGTTATTATTCCACCTGTTGTGATGTAAATGCTGAAATATCCAAAGGAGCTTTCAAAAGGCACTTCTAAAGAGAAACATCCTTGGAAAGGTAAAGGATGTTCGCCTATTTTTATCACGCATTGTCCTGGTTACAAACAACAGAAACATTGCAGAGCTGAAACTATCTGTTGAGAGGTTTTTGAAAGACTGAAAGTCTAGCCAGTTAGTCTAATATAGTTCCCAATAATTTGGACGATTGTATTTTGATTTGGTATAATAATCGGCACCTGCATGGAGGTCTTTTGGAGTCTTTATTCACAGAGAGTTGTTGTGATTCAGGTTTTGAAGCTATTCGATGTTTGGCTGCCAAACTTTGTTGGGTTAATAAAGAACTCACAGGTTCTTACTTTGGGAAGCTGCTGTCAAAGTTGGCTTGGAATGGTTGTATCCACGATGGTTGGAAGTCTTGGAATCAAAATTTTGCGACGTTGAGATCTTATTGCAGTTGATTTTGCTGTCAGAATGATAGAGGTAAAAATGTTTCTTGTGTGAAGAACAAGGTCGCTAGAGTCCAGTGACGTGCATTTGAAATTGAGCTCTAATTGGGAAATTGCAGCTCAGTTGTAACAAAGGATCAGCTATCATGAACATGCAATTTTGGAATCCGATTGACCATTTATTTTTGAAAAACAAATGCGCAATAATTTGTAATGTCCATTGTCAGTAATTGTAGCGGTCTTCATGTGCTCAGATTGCTTATTATCCCTGTCGCACTCTGATTAGTTTAGCTTAGTGCACTTCCTGTTCTTAGACTTTTGTTGACCTGTCTTGATTCGACGAGTTGCTCATGTTTCCTTCTCTTTTCTCCTTGAAATGTTATTTGTCAAAATTCTATTGCAGCTTTGCATTATATTAAATTGAATACGAAGTGTACTAAGAGTAAGAGGTCTAAAAATCAGTTCACTCATTGGGCATTGGGCATTAGCTAATAATGTGCACCGTTCCCTCATTTGGCCTTCCAGTGATAAAGAACCTTTGGTGGCACTAAGGCCTCGGATTATGCCTGGTAGGCCTAAAGAGAAAAGGATAACAGAGGAAGGAGAATCTAAAAATGGATTCAAAATGTCAAGACAGGCACAGAAATCACATGCCATTTGTGCTTCAAGCGAGGCCACGAATCAAGAAATTGCCCATGGAAACAAACAAAAGGAGAAGGTAACGTTTATTCATTCTGTGTTTCTAGTCTCTGTTTGTATCAATATTTCTGACTTTGTTTTCTAAAGTGAACAGGATGAAGAGATAGCCAGACAAAGAGAAGGAACCAACTTGTCACAGAGATGCATCATAACAATGTCACCGCTCAAAAGGTATTTTTAACCTTACTTTTAAGTAACTATCTACTTGAGTGATTATAAGTGCCATTTTAACTTGAGTATTGTTTGCTTCTTAATAGCGTTGATGGGAAGGCAGTGGAGTCATTTCTCTACCAAGAGATACCAATAATGTTGTGGTCAATGCTAAGAAGGTAGAGAGCTCATCTCACATATTTATCACTACAGTAGGATCAGAGGCAGAGCTTTATGGTAATAAACGAGTTGTTATGTAATATGGATTTCTTTCGTCCAGCAGCAAAAGGAAGACGGTATGAAAGAGAAGGAAGAGAAATGAAAACAAGCGGGTGGAGCATTTGAAGGACACTGGAAGTTTTGGATCAACAAGATCGACAGGTAAAAGGAAAAACGACCAGAAGTCGCTGTTAAAAGAGTTGGAAGTCCAATACGTTGTAGTACCTTTTGTTGGAATGACTCTTCAATTAAAGATCAAGAGATGGAGTCTGTTGTTCACATTTCCCGTTAGTATTTAAGATGTGGGAATGATACTGTTAAGACCACAAGCATTCTGCGCAACAGTTTTTTGTGCTTGTGAGTACGTTTGACATTTGAAAAGTAATTGCAGTTGGCCTTATTTTTGCCTAATCTGTTGGTGTTATAGACAAGGCTCAGTCCCCAATGACAAGCCAAGCTTGTTTAGAGGTAGGACATGAATTTTATTATCTAACAATTTCGACAAATTTTCATTCTAAAAAAAACAGCAATTTTCTTCGCATAATGAAAGAATGTAAAACATTTCCATTCTAAAAATTCGATTTTGTCGTGCAAAACACCAGCAATTTCCATAGACGTCATCACTAGTAAAACTAGAGATCCTAATCCTCCAACTATTCAGCAGTTCCAGCCGTGGAACATTGCTCTCGTCCAAGTAAAGACCAAAAACGAAAATCCACACCATTCCTTCAATAACTTTCCCAATCGTTTCTGCTTTCCAAGACCTCAATGTGATCTCCACAAGGCCGGATTCTCCTACTAGAGCAGTTTCACCTCCAATTTGGTCGAATTTGACGTCTTCACCTACACGGGCATGTTTAGGTGGCGTGCCCTCCACGACCCCAAGATCTGCATGGTCGCCTGCTAGACCTCAACCCATCAAACCATCTTCGTCCTCCAGGCTCAAAGCAGTTCGTGTGAGAAATTTGAAGTGTGACTTGATGAAGAAGATGAAAGAAATTGAGCAGAAAGAGTATTTTTATGCTAATTGCTAGGGGGAGAGGGCAGAAAGAGACTTCGTCTGACATAGAGAGAGACTCGACCAATGTCACTGTCCTAGACGCACAAAAGAAATTGACCAGCCAGATAAAAAAGCTTTGACTCACATCATCATTGAAAAGCTTACAAGTCCCACAAAAATACTTCCCCATGCAAACACCACAGTTGATGCACACCTGGCGGACCTGTGAACATGGGAACCAAAGGTTGAGAATCAATATCTGCAAAACCTAACATATTGATGGCAAAATACGATACTGCACTGCAGCTTATGTTTGGCTAGTCTTTCTAAACAACTTCACATTTTTTACCTCCTTTGAAAAGTTAGTGCAATCAAAATTGGTAATGAAGTATAGAATGTTTAAACTTACCTCTTGTTCAGTACCACAGAGTGAACATACAACCTGAAAAAAAACAGTAGGTAAGTGGGAACATCGAGTAATAAGTCAGTCTTTAAAAATGCCAGAAATTCGATAGCATCCACCTGTTGAACTTGATGGCGAGGCAACTCATGTCGCTCCTTTTGGTTTACATCGATATTATTCTGCACCTAAGAGAACAGTATGTCATGTAATGAAGAGCGTGTCTATAGGCAGAAGATTGAAGAATTATATAATTTGTCAGATTTACCAAACTAGACTACTTATCCAAACTCAAACCACATGGCAACTTTCATTTATGATGCAAAGAAACTCTGGTGCCATTAATAAGTCAATTAACTTCGCGAGAACATAAGTGGCAACTTCTGCAAATATCCATCATACAATAATGGGAAACCGCACATATCACAATATAAGCACACGCACTTCAAAGCTAACATCAAGTTAGAATGCAATCTCATCTTAAGATAACTCATGTCACTAGAGCCCAAAACCTACAAGCAGCTGAAGCGGTACTTACATTTTGGTTAACGATCATTCTCTAGTATATGGCAAGTGAAAAGTTAATCAACTAAACTTACTCTAAAGTATCTCCTAGATATCTAGTGACCATCTTCATGTCATAATAAAGGAAGTTATCAAGCATACTTAAGTCTATGAGGGGTACAAAGAATCACCTTTGCATCATTATGACAGTGACGGCAATCAAAAATCTCATTGCAACAGGGGGCTCTAATGCGGCACCTTTGATGGTAATGAGGACATCTGCAGCAGTAGCAACTTTGATATTAACTGAAAGTTGACAGCAATTAAAATAGAAGTGATACTGCTCAAGAAAGAGCCAAGACATTACAAAGAGCCGAGACATTACCCGTACTGCAAGCACCCTCTCTCTAGCAACTCAGTAGCACTAGCATCATCTTTAGTTTTCTCGACAGGCATCGGTTCCCCATTCATCTGCCGAAGGACTGTGAACTCAGTGTCTGTCTGACTCTCTTCATAGAAGACACGCTGAAGGTTTTCCGCATCAAACTGTTGAAACCCTCGCTGTTCAATAGCTACTTCACCCATTTTTATTTGACTCTGCTGAGACTACCAACTACCTAGAAGCTAGCAATGAAGCACCTGCAGATATGAGCAAACTTAGCTACATTCCATAACCTCCTAAGAATTTTATTTGGCCAGTCAAGCAAGGAGACACTGCAACATTGATTTCTGCTACAAGGGTCAAGACCATTTGATATCGGCAACAAGATAGTCCAATGCATGTCGAACAGCTCCAATCAGCAGTTCTCCAACAGAAGGAATCATCGAAACAAGTAGATCTAAAAAAATCCCATCTAATAACATAAGCGAAGCATTGAGGAACTCCAGGGCATCCAGCAGTGGATAATAAGGAATCGTGTGTCATGATCACTGATTCCTTGAAGTCTGGAACAAACTATACCAGAAACGACCATCAACGAGCCAATCTCTGGTGAAAGCCAACAAATCACACGATTAAATGCTCTTAAACGTAGTAAGATAACAGAATAAGGTGAAAGATTGTAAGAGCAAACTGGTCCATCAAGGATATACTACCTCCTTCTGCAATTCTGCTTGAAGCTTTCTTTGAGAACTGCTAATAACTCGAGCCTTAAGACTTTCGACTGTACTGAAGCTCATTTTACTTTTGCAGTCAGAAGGCTCTTCCAACTAAACAAATACCCTCAAGTTGGCTAAATGATTCCATACATGCCGGCAGAAACACATATTGTACAGCCGCTGAAGACAAGCATCGATGTCCTTAAGCAAAAACCTTCACGAAGAAGGTATTTACCCAGGTACCAACTTTTCCATCCATTCCAACCTCTGGTTTCAAGGGGTTCTTCAGTATCCAAGCAATACCTAATCTTACAAGTCAATTATAGCCGATTGGAATTTGATTTAACATTCCATATGTTGTCCAAGAGTCAACACAGAACTTGTTGTTTTTATTAATTCTAGTCCAATATTTCCTATTTCATGCAATATGAGCATATGCTTCTTCCATGCATGAATCAAGTTCGTGGGTTGAGTTGGAGGGAGGCACGGAGAGAGTGAGAGGAAGAACGTTTCATTTTTAAAGCCCAGAATAACAGTCGAAGCCCCACCATACAGAATCATATCTCACAACTAAGGAATTTTGCCTACACAAACAGTTTAGGAAGCAACCACTTTATTTGAGTTTTGTGAAACAACTAAATTCCGCCGTCTGTTGCTCAAGCAGACAAACTGCTTTAGAGAATTAAATTAATCGACCTCCAATCATCGCGAATGCTACTTCAGTAATCTACTTCTAGCAGCAACCATCAACTATGGAAATCTTGTTCCATTTCATGTCAACACTATCATGGGAAGGTAGTCTATATAAACCAGCGAGACTCAGAACTCTCTCTCTCTCTCTCTCTCTCTCTCTCTCTCTCTCTCTCTCTCTCTCTCTCTCTCTCTCTCTCTCTCTCTCTCTCTCTCTCTCTCTCTGCCATGGTCTCCCATCTTGATTAAATCTCCTTTCATCGTGGAGAAACCCAAAAACAGGCTGAGCACGAGCACAGAGATTCCATAATTCTACTGTGAAACCACAATTACAGTGTCCGCACCATGCATTAATCTCAAAATATAACCAAAAACCTGCCATTCTAGTAGAGATTTCTCGAAGTTCTAAATGTGATAAAGTTCATGAGAACCAAGATCTAGGGCAAAGGTCAGAAAGCATGTTACTTCAATGAGCACAAAACTCGGAACCTACACCTCCGTATGTTATACAGAGTATGCATTAGTGCATATATGGATCTGTAAACTACTCTCCAAATGAATACGGCATATCAATTAATATGTTTATCATTCAGTCCCGTGAAGTTTGGATTCTACTTTGTCCAGCAAATTTCCAGGACAAGAAAAGTAGGGGAAAGCCTGCTGCAGTCAGTAGGACATCCCATTTGAGCCAAGACCTCAGTCATATGTAGAAAAGAGGAGAACATGAAAAGCAATTGTATCCACTCCATCTTCCCCTAAATGCCAAATTTCCAAGGACTCCTGAAGGAAAAAAACTACATCCTATAAAAGATGGAAAGGCTGGTTTTCACATCTTAATCATCATTAACATTCTTCCCTTGAGAATTCAATCATCAGACAAGGCCAGCCACAGATAATGGATAATATTTGGTGTAAAGGGGAAGTGAGTTGATTCTCCTCATCATCTTCTTGCAAAGAACTTATTTAATTAGGTGAATCTGCATCAGCGTTCACCTTGGCTCCTGTTTCTTAGTTAAAAAAAGCCACACAGCTTTGTTTGCTATCAAACTTCTTGGCGAAACCTAAATAGACTACATTGCATTCTGCGATCAACAACCACATTGCAACATCAAATTCTAACGACGCGACTGTGCCCCTTGCTCTTCACCAGATCCTACATAAAAGATGTAATTTCCAGAGTTATCGAATCCCGGCATAACTAATCTCTAACGAACATGCCAAGTCATCACCTGACACACTGTCCATAACGACCCCAGATGAGAGCGACCTGCTCCGATGATTCGGGAAATGATTGGAACGGCACATCCTTAATCACACGAGATAGCGGCAAAAGAAAAGGAAAGCAGCAGGGGATCCCATCATTTTGACAAAAGGGAAAAACAACACCATGCTAGTCCTCTAGTTATCAACAAGAACCGAGTCACGATGTCGCTCGAGTCCATCAACCAAACTCTCGGGCGATAAAACTGCCAAACGAATGACAGTTCGAAAAATCTTAAGATCAGACTAACATCCCCAAGGATACCCTTAAAATGCCAACTCTCCCTCCCTCCCCAAACCTCTTTCGGCACCAAGATGTGCATATCGGACCGGCGATCAAAACACCATAACCATGCAAGGAGTCCGTTCAAGATCCTACATCATTCAACTGCATCGGAAACCGAAAAAAGGCCAAACAAACGCCTCAGTGCCTCAGAAGTCCGAACTACCCTCATCACCTGCCTCAACACGGCACGGACAAACCCGGAACCGATTCCTATTCACACTTTAGCCCCTTCCTCTCTCACACACACACACACACACTAGGAATCCCAAAGCATCCACCGCCCAGAAAAAAAAATAAAAACGAGAAAAAAGGGAAGAGAAACCCAACGCGAAGCACCTCCTTACCTGCACCTGAAGAGAGCTAAACTTAGCTAACGAAACGCACCCACCCACCCACCCACGCGGAGCAGTCGGTAGAGAGAGAACGCAAAAAGCGAAAGCTTGGGTTTAACGTAACGGTGCAGGGCTCTTTTCAAGAACGACGAACTTTCAAAAATCCGAACTCGCCCCGATCCCTCGACCGAAGCGGAGGACGCGGCCTGCGGCTGAAAGAGCTCCGATTACACGCGCGGGGCAAATGGGCGATGGAGTTGATTTCCTCGTTCTCTGCGGAATCTTCCTTCCGGCGATGGAGATTGTCAGTGACGAGAAAGAGAGAGAGAGAAAGAGGGAGAAAGCTGGAATTTGATAGAGAGAGAAAGCGGATGCGAAATCACCCGCCTGGGTGGCGCTGCTGAAGCGCGCACTCTTCCTCTCGTAAAAGGTTGAGCGTTCGAATCTCGGGCGCCGCAACGTGACTTAACCGGTGCATGTGTGTGGTAGCTAGCACGTGTCGCCCCCAGAGTTTACCTCCTGGTTATCGGTCGTGCGGGGTTCCCTGGATCCAAAAAAAAAAAAAAAAAGCGGATGCGAAAGGTCGGTGGAGGGTTTCGAGAGGGTTCGGATTTTGTCTTTTCCTGGCACGTTCGTCGATTACGAAAGCGGTGAAAACAAGGGAGAGAGAGAGAAAGAGATGTGGACATGATGTGTAAAGAAGAGAAGATGTATGGATAGAAAGGAGGTGGGGGGTGGCGTGTCTGAAGGCGACCTCTTTGCCTCTCGCTTCGTCGAATTGGACGGTGCGGTATCGTGGACGGGTCACCCGATATGATAAGGCATCTCTTGCATTGTAAATTGATTTTTCTAATTCAATGTCTATGCTTTTCTAGGCACGCGTTTCGTATAAAGAATGGAAGGGGCGTCGTGGGTTCACGAGTTCTTCCGAGCCAAATTTCCCACGTGAATTATGCAATAGTCAGTTCACTCGCTGTGTGACGCGTGTCGATGTCGGCCCGCCTAATTTGGAAGTCTCTCCCTCCGCTCTCTCCCTCCCGTCCCTCCCGACTCGCGATTGAGAAGGCCTAGCTCTGCTCTCTCTCTCTCTCTCTCTCGTCCAACCGCCTCCACCTCGTCCCAAGATCCACCAGCCTCTCCTCCAAGCGAGGACGACTCCCAGCGCTCCCCCTCACGCCCCCAATCCCCATGTCTCTCTTCCGTCAAATCCTCATTGCGAGAACTCGTCCATTGGCGATCGATGATGGCTGTAGACCTAAAAAGTCACGCGATTAAAGCAAGGGTCAATAATGATATTCTCCAGTGAGTAATTTTTCAAACATATAGGACACTGCCACTGCAATGACAATAGTTCAAGTTTACTGACAGAAAATGATTAAAGCCAAAATAGAAATTTCCTCGACGGTCCATTACCTTCCTGGGTCGCCGATTCATTTCCACAAATACCTCCGGATCAAAACATCCCATGTGAACACAAGGTTTAAACCTACCAGCAATCTTCATTCTCGAACCACTCATCTGCAGTCCACAATTAGAAAGGTAAAGTAATTAATCAAAACCAGAAATGAGTGGCTGCAGTTTCAATTAAAACAAAGGAAATAATTTTCCCTCATGCAAAGCCTTTTCCTTAGAACAGCCTATGATAAAGAAAAAAAAATCAAATGAGGTAATAGTGTTATTCATCGGTGCAATCATTGATAGGGTTAACTTCAGATTAGCTCCTCTAACTTGTAGTCCGTCACTTCTTTTTTTTGTGAAATCAAGTACTTCAATTTGCTCAATTTGTGCAACCTAAGTCCTCTAGTCACCCTGCCATTGCTGACTCCATCAAATTGTTGACATGCCTTATAGAATGTGTCAAATCATCATGACAAATTCCACGTCAGCAATTTAACAGAGTTGCAGTCGGTGGCAGAAGGATTCCATTCCCAAGATTGGAGAAGTTAAAGAACTTCCTTTCAAAAGAAGATAGAAGACGGAAGTGGAATTACGGTTAGTTTTCACTTCACACACTTATTAACTGAACGAAGAGAAATCATCACAGAAAATATCTTTACCAGACTTTTCCTCACGCTAACACAGAATACAAGACTGCTTGGATTTCACAAATTCCATGACGCAACTTACAGGACATCGGAGATTAACGGCGAAGGAATCTGCTACCACTTCCAGATCACTACCACTATCAGCTTCGGTTGCTCCTCCACCCCCGACGCAGCGACAAACACGAGCAAGAGCATCTTCAAAACGTTCACCATCAGATTCTTTTGGAATCAGATTGAGAATCTACAAAACAGAGTAATGGAGCATCAGTTTAACAAAAATTTGATTTCTACTATGCATCTTTTCCTCCATTTCAATGGGTGTCACCCCTGTGAAATTTAACTACAAAAGTCTTTGCAAAGCAGTCAAGCCCACGTTCTCTTAGTACATACAAAAAAGAAAAAGATTCAGGTTTCACAACTATAAAACATACAGCGCTAACTCTGTCACAGCTAAAAGCAACTTGAACAACAGTTAAAACTGTCCCAAGTACCTCATAAAATCCTGAACAACAATGATAAGACCAGCTGGGCAGTCACATAGACATCAAACAGAAGAGGTACATTTTAACACAAGCATTTACTCCAGCTTTCACAAGGAAAATAAGAAACCGGATGAATAATTATGGCCAATTTTGGCCAGCTGACGCCAGCGAGCGTCCACGACAGCGCCAGCCGGCCAAAATTGGTTGAATCGACTGAATTGGTATAAATGCAAAAGGTCTAAAACTGAATTGACAAAAAAAAAGTTTTAGGATTGAAATGGCACAATTACAATAGATTTAGAACTTTTTTGGTAATGCTCCCCATGGTAAGCACATGAAACAAATTTCATTTATATAAGTGATACATTCATTTGTTTTCCCTTATGATCACAAGGAATCCCACCTTTGATCGGTATACATGTGTAAATTATCGCGAATTATGAAATGCATTGTTGCTCAAAGTGAGTTGTGGCAATTTGTAGTAACAACAAAATGTGCGTCGTTACGATCACCATCATAGCCCTCTTTCCGAATATTATCTTCTATTTATTTCGAAGATATACCCAGGTTCACAAAAAAGGAAGCTTTTGGTAAGGATGAGAGGCATAATATGAGGATCGAAGTGCCCAACTGCAATAATACATGGAATCAAATTCACGGCCGTGTGGTCACTAATGAATCGGATTCTATATGATCCTTCCCCGTGAAAAATAGCAACAAGAACCGAGGTGCTTTGGTCGTGGATCAAATAACTGAAGTGGTATATGTCGAGGGAAGCTATAGAATAAGATGATCTCTGCTGCTAATCAGGTGCTTTGGTCATGGACAAACGATCAATAAGATGATGTGTTTTGTCTGTCGCAAATTGGTGAGAGCATCTCACCATCCTTTTTTCCTTAAGTACTCATTCGATGACCAAAATGTTATAATATCAATAATATGATCCCACATTCAGTTTATTATACCCACATTCAATTAATTTCATTAACGTTTATTGTCCACGTTAAGTTGCGTGATAACTGTCCATTATATTGTGACCGCCCAAAATACACGACTTCTCAATGGAAGAAGTCATATGAAGGGATGCAAATGGATACAAAAGGGTCTTCTAAGCCAAACCCTCTCATAATAAAAAAAACACACCATCGACGTTGAAAGGGCAATTGGCTAGAGATACCCTTCACCGACCGTTCAACGCTCGATGATTCAGATTATCAATCGAACTTCATCAATGTCTGGTGGTTAATAAAGAATTTTTCAAGTTTCCGCATTAGGTTCTGATTACGCATGAGTTTTGTTTGTCCATGCAAAATCGGGATATTCAGTCCTTTTAGAATTTCTAACATAAACCGGATGAATAATTTTCCCCGAGGTCATCGAGGTCTCGCGACCCCCGACCAGTAATTGCTCGGGTTAGGCGACCGCACCGATGTACCACCGCCCTAGATTTCCTTGTTTTCTTTTTTTTCTTTTAATATTTGTTATTTTCACTATTATCTTAAACATAGTGCAGGATATCAGGTTAGCATTTTCGTCCATAATTTTGACGAAACGACCAAGTTGAACAATAAAAAAATATAACTTAGAGACCCAATTCCACAAAATAAAAAGTTCAAGGACACGATCGAACAATTTGAAAAAGGTTCTGGGACCTTTAATGCCCTTTATCTCAACAGATTAAGGTTTCATTTCCATCAATCCGACCTTACGCAAAAATGTCGAGACGAGTACAGCTATAAAACTCAAACCATGTTTCCATTGCTAAATCGTTATCTCAAACGCGTGTTCAGTTCGGAATTTCATAATTAGGAACGTGCGAAGATTATCAACACGTGCTAATGGAGTCAAATGATTGGTGCCAATGGATAAGGTCAGGTCATCACCCGGGCTAAGAACGACGTTATCCGAGATCATTATTGTCTTACAAAGTTACTTTTTTAGAATAGAATCTGACACGTGCAGGGATTGCGACACGTGTAAAGTCGGCCCAAGATCGGTCAAGAACGGGGGACTGATTTTTCTCGGAAGGAGACAGGGACGGTGCGGAGAATTCAGAGAGATATTGTAAATTAAAAAAGAAATCGGTGTCCACCTAATATCCACCAAAGCTGGATTTTTGACAATCGGATTAGATTAACGAGTGGGAAGGAAGGAAGACTTACGTGGCATTATTTCGTGTTCAATCGCTCCGATACAAATCATTTGTCATTTCGATGGCAGATTTTGCGTGCTCTCGCGGCCAAAATAGAAGACTCGCGAGTTTAGGCTACGGGACAAGAAATTGCCGCTAAATGGGCCGTCGTGCTAGGGTATGCAAAAGAACTGAGAATCGTTTAGACCGTCCAGAACCGGCAATTTTTTAAAATTGGTGAGTATCGGTTCGGTTCCGACTCCAAGTGTAGAACCGCCCGCCCGCCCACCTGGACCGGACCGGTAATATAATAATAAATATATTATATTTATTTAATTTTTATTTAAAAAAAAAAAGAAAATCTTAACTCTCTAAACTAAACCTAACCCACTCGATATTTACAGTCTCACATTGAGCCGAGAAATACATTCTTTTGCTTTCGCCTCACACTCACTCTCACTCTTTTCATTCTTCTCAGTCGATACTCACCTCACTGTCTACCACTCTCTATCTTCATCTCCATCTTTCCGTCTCCGTCCTTGGCTAGTGGGACCAGATCCATAGGCCTCTCTGGGAACGGGACCAGACCGTACCAACGGTCCGGTTCCCGGGTAGATCTATGAAGCCAATGGGCGGTTCTTGATTCCAATTTTTTGGAACCGGCCTTTAGTGGGCGGTTCCTGGTTCTAGGGTGGAAATCGCCCACCCGAATTATGCTCACCCTTACTTCCTGCTCCTCTTTCTAAATTGGCAACATTTCTGTTAGTGTTATGTTAGGGCGCAAATTGTCTTGGGCTCACACTAAATTATCGAACTTTACCTTTTTGTGGTTCCTGGGTGACACTAATGGAAAATTTGAGAGTTTGGAATTAGTATATATAAGTTCGGGTTCCTCATATTTTTGCACTCCCAATATACCCAAATAATACACCCTAATCTCCTTACGAGCGTTTCAGGAATCTGACATCGCAGAATGGATTTGCAGAAAAATTACGCCAAAGTGATCCTAACTTTGGGGGCAATACCGTTTGCCTCTGAACTTTCGATTGTTACCCGTTACTCCCTTGAGCTCTCATTTTATTGCGGCAGTTAACTCTCGGTTGTATTCTCCATTTGTTTGTGTAATATAATGATTTTTAAGGAGTGAGTGTATATTTTCATCTCATTTTTCTAAAAAGAAATCCGTCTTTTACCCCTGGTTTCCGTTAAAAAAATGAAAAGATACGGAAGATGGAGAAAATTAAATTGACTAATATATAAATTCCAGAAAAATGACTGTCAATAAGATATAACACAATGTAACAAATAAAATATTTTAATATAGACAAAAACAAGTAAGTAGAAAGGAAAAGTGCCTCAAAAACAAAGAGGTCAAACAACAAAAATTGGATACTCATTATGTGACTTTAAATAGTTAATTAATTCCAGAAAATGATTGATAAATAAAAAAATTCTTAAAAAATTACCTTAGATTTTGGTTCATCATTTTCTTTTATGAGTCGAGGATATCATTTTCCGTTATAATTTCTTTCAAAATATCTTTGTTGAGCACTCACTTTCACATGAATCAACCCTTTATATTATACATAATGACTAACCAAAATTTTCATTTGACCTTCCTGTCATTGAGGCCTTTTCCATTTTTATAAAAATTGTGTTTATTATTTTTGTCAAAATATCTTATTTAGTTATATTAAGATGGCTATATTCATTAATTTTTAACAAATCCTTATCATTTAATATTATTGTCGATATTTAATTTCGATTATTAGTAAATTAATATATATTTTTTTTCCACTTTCTATGTTTTTCATTTTCTACATTAATTAAGGGTGAAAGAGATTTTTCCTACAAAAATTAGATTTTTTTTAAACCCATGTGCATTGCACATGCTAACGAAATAATATATAATGTCATCCCTAAACTTTTAATTTGTTCAATATGGTCCCTAAAATTTTGGTAATATTTAATCTAGTCCCCAAATTATATGAAAATATTCAATGTTATCCATGGACTTGAATTAATAAAAGAACAACACTGAAAAATTGTCATCCAGTTCAAGAACTAAAATTGTACATGTATCAAAAGTTCAAAGACCACATTGAACAAATTAAAAATTCAGGGAAGACATTACACATTCGGGAAAAATTCAAGATCCATTTGTGTCATTTTGCCAAAAAAATAATGGAGCGTTAACGGCTATAACAAAATGAGAGCTCAGGGATACTTTGTAACAATTGAAAGTTTAGAGGCAAACTCATACTTACCCCAAATTAAGGTAATTTTCCCCTAATTTGAGGGAGGGGTTGAACCATGTTTACTTACACAGATGGGCCTTGGACCAAACTCAATCCACGTTCATCGACATTCCCTAGTTGTAAGCAATGTTGGGCAATGTTGATGCCTTGCGACAGATTACCGATGTCCAGGACCGTCTTGTGATAAGCTCTAGTGATTAAACGGACAGAGCCTTAAAAATAGTTAAAGAAAGGAAAAAGAGAAGGAACACTAATTCTAGTAGAGGTTACCAATACCATGCTTGCTGGCCATGATTATATAATGTTGCTGATTTTCCACCGACAAGTTGACTCCAAAATCAGATTGCACTCTTTAACCGTTGGAGAGAAATTCCTCGAGCAAGAGAAATGCTCATCAAACCCTTTGTTTCAATCGTTACTAGCATTTCAAAATCAGACATGACTCTTCCAAATCTGAGCGACCCTCGAATCGAGTCGTGGTCTATGCATTTGGATTTGGCGGATGGAGTTAGCGTCGTGAGAATTCACGAGTGAGGGTGTTTGTGGTTGGGCAGCGACGCTGTGATGCTTAGAGTGCAACGTCAATGTCGTGAAGCTACAGTATTCTCCTTGATTCAAAGACAAACCAGGAAGAAGATACGTGTGAGTGCAGATAGGTCAATAAAGCATTTGGCCCGACTATATGCATATCCTTTTCGTGTCACAGATTTTGAAGATTGAGA